TTGCGAAATGCAGATTTTAAGATTCCACTAGGGCTTCGCCCCTGGCGGGGCCCACGACAGTTAAAATTAGCCGATTTTTCAACGTTAGATCTACAAACAAAATCCAATTTTCGCTTAGTGTATTGGTCAAACCGAGATCTGTAATTCAGTGCATGGCAGTGTTGCCAAGTGGCCCAAAACACCCCCAAATCGACGCAAAAATTTAAATTTCTGAGCCATTTTGGTTTTTTTGCAGGCTTGGCATTGCAGCACGGCTACTGGCTACAGGCGCCCATAATCGGGGGAAGTCCGGCCGACATCCGAAACTACCCCTACCAGGTGCTGCTTTTGATCAACAACAAGGCGAATTGCGGCGGATCGATAATCAGTGAGAAGTTCGTCATCAGCGCAGCCCACTGCGTTTACGAGTAAGTGGCGCAAGCGTTAGAAGGACCGGAAACTGGCAAAACAGTGTTGCCGCTTTGCAGCGTGCCACCCAGCCACTTGTCGATAAGAGCGGGATCTTCGGACCGGACCACTGGCGGGCAACTGGTGGGGGTGAAGTCTGTCAACTTCCCAGCTGACAGATTCAATGTGGACACTTATGACTTTGACATTGCGGTGTTGCGGCTAGAAACCGCGCTGGTGAGTTTAGGGATTTTGTGTTGGGAGTTTTGCAGGTTGAGGGACTTTTGCAGGTTTTCCGGGAGGGCGTGGCCGCCATTGCGCTTCCCCCTCCAGACGTGGACGTTGAGCTGGGCGAGGTTGCCGTCGCCACCGGTTGGGGGCAGATCGATCCCGACGAGACAACGTTGCCGGATATTCTGCAGGTAAACCGCGCATGACGCTGTCCTTGTTCGTAGCATTGAAGTGGAGGGGGGCGGGGTTTCAGTATGTGGAACTTCCGGTGATTACGACGCAGGCCTGCCAACGCTACTACGGGCAGTTGATTACTGCGCGAATGTTCTGCGCAGGCTACCAGGAGGGCGGCAAGGACACGTGTTTGGTGAGTAGAGGGGATTGGTGGTGGTGGTGGTGGCGACCAATGGGAGAGCGTGTGCTGACTGTAGGGGGACTCGGGCGGGCCGCTGGCAGCCAATGGGGTGCTAGTGGGCGTGACGTCATGGGGTCCAGGCAGATGCGCCCAGTCCGGACAGCCGGGAGTGTTCACCAAGGTGGCCTTTTTCAGGGAGTATATCGACGATGTTGTGCGATCGTATGGGCGGAGGGATTTTAAATAAATTATTTTTTAAAATTAAATAAAAAATCACAGTTTTTGGGCCGATTTTCCGAAACTCAAACGCGTTTTAAACAGCATCGGTGTGTCAATAAATTGTGTGATTTGGATGGTGGCGTCGGGTTGGAAACCTGGAAATTATAATTTTTTTATTTGTTTTTCTTTTTATTAGTTATTTCTACTAGCACTAATTAATAATTAATTAATTAGTAAAAAATGTGAAAACTGTCCAATACATAAAATTTGGTTGCAAAAAAAATTTTTTAAAATCGAAAAAGTAGCATTGAAAATGAAAATTAGTTAAAAAACATGGAAATTATGCCAAAAGTACGCCTAAAGTTACGATAAAAGTCTGTCAAAATTCAATCATTTTTGAACCAAAAATCGTAAAAAAATTGCCCAAAAATTTACTTTAAAATGGGAATGAAAATTTTTTCAAGATAAACATCCTTAACAAAAACGAAAAAAATTTCGTTTT